GAATAGGCCAATACTTGTAGAAAATCTCAATGATATCATCAAAGCCCTTATTAAATGTTGTGGAGAGTATGGGTGTTGTACCTGTGCCTGCCTCTTTGGTGCTGATTTTGTATTTGGATTTTTTTAACAGTGGGGACATAGGCATCACCCAATAATTCAAGGATCATATAATGCTCTTTTCTATGGGACTCCTGTTCCAAGTACACAGTTGGAGTAAAATAATTTGAACTAGGAAAACCTGTAGTATAAGTCTTGGACAAAGATGTAACATTATGATTAAGCCCTTTCAAATATGCATTCAGTACCTTATTCAGGGGGTAGGATTTATCTAAAAAGCGCTGGCATAACATAAGGGACTCCTTCTCATAATAACACACAAACGAACAATTTCATCTGATTCTGGTAAATTGTCCTAAAGGGATATTCTGTATCCATGTGGGATGGTGACCACTTTTGGCATGTAAATAACCATTCACATCCACACTTTTTTGATAGGTCTTAGTGGTGATTCTTCCTTCAGAACCAGCAAGAGTTAAGTCCAAGAAATCAATAGTGGACCTATGTTTCTTGTATGTAAAAGAAAGGCCCCAACAATTGCTGTTGATGTAAGACACAAAGTCTTCTATTTCATTCCAATCACCCCTCCAAATGATAAGGATATCATCGATGAACCTGCGATAGAGGGCGAGTCGCTCCATCCAATATGGGTCAGCAAAAACCATAATCTGTTCCCAGTAACCCATAAACAAGTTAGCATAGGATGGGGCAAAACTCGCCCCCATCGCAGTTCCCCTTGTTTTGTACCAAAAAACTTCACATTGAATTCAAAATAATTGTGTTTCAACATAAATTCTGTAAACCTAATAATGAATTCAGACTGTTTTTCCGGAAGGAGGGGATCTGATCCCAGATATAATGAAAGGGCTTTTAAACCCACAGTATGGTCAATATTAGAATAGAGAGCTGCCACATCAATCGTTAGCCAGCAATAATGTTCTGACCATTCAATCTCCTTGACAATGGACAACACATGTCCTGTATCCTTCAGAAAAGAAGGCAGATGTGAAACGTATCTTTGCAAGTGAAAATCAACCCACTTAGAAATGGGTGAAATCAAAGAATCTAAACCAGATATTATGGGGCAGTCTGGGTTTGTATGGGTCAGTCTCTGTAAGTGCTTGAGCTCCAAAAAAGATACCTCTCATCTCATGACCTCCCCTGTACCCGATGGATTCAATTTTTTTTGTTTTTTGTAAACATATATTAAACTAAAAATGGTAAAGCTCTTCCCTATCCCACTCTCTACACCCCCTGAACACAGTACACCCTTACAGACAGTGAACCCCTCACACACAGTACACTCCCACCAACACAGAGTACACCATTGCATACACACACAATGCATCCCTCACACACATCATCTTTTCGCACACATACACACTTCTTCAACGAATACCTTCACCCCATTACACACCAAATCTCATAGATATAATAACTACAGCTCCTTGATAAGCAACGCAATGCAAACTCAAAACACATCCACTCACAATGCAGCCCCTAGATGCACACACTTTACAGGCCCTTTCCACACACACACACATATATGTTCTCACACACTCACAAATTGAGCTGAGTGGATCTTTCCCTGGCATCCAGTGTGTCTCCTCTCAGTCTTCCTGCAGTTTCTCTCTGCTCCACTGCTCGCTCTCTGTAGTGATGCCAAGGCCAGAGTGACGTCTTGTCACTAAACAGGGCGCAAGGGAGCAGAGAGGAACTACAGGAAGGTTACTGCTCCCTCACGCACCACCTCCATGCTCCCCACGGCGGCCAGCTTTAATGTTTCCTGCACGGCTTAGCAAAGAGCTGACAAATGCCAGGTGCCAGGGCGAAATGTCTAGTCACCATGGTGACCTGGCTCCTGGAATTTGTCGTGCCCAGTGTATATATGTGTGTGTGTGTGTGTGTATATACACACACACAGTTATAAAATGTATGTATATATACACACACATATATATACCCACGTTTAATAACAGCCCCCTTACTTTTGTCCCTGGCCCCTTATGTGCCCCCCTAAGTATGAATCCTGGACACGCCCCTGTTTACAAGTGTCATTTCCCCCAAAGTGTGTCTTTTTCCTACACCCAGGATAGACACAATTCTAAGCTCTTTAATTAAGAGCTCTATTGGGCTAAAGAAAAACTTAGATCTGCTTAATACTGGCAAGACAATCAAAAGACGGTCTATAGTTAAAGGACCACTCTAGGCACCCAGACCACTTCAGCTTAATGAAGTGGTCTGGGTGCCAGGTCCTTCTAGGGTTAACCCATTTTTTCATAATTATAGCAGTTTCAGAGAAACTGCTATAATTATGAATGGGTTAAGCCTTCCCCTAATCCTCTAGTGGCTGTCTCATTGACAGCCACTAGAGGCGCTTGCGTGCTTCTCACTGTGATTTTCACAGTGAGAGCACGCCAGCGTCCATAGAAAAGCATTGTAAATGCTTTCCTATGAGACTGGCTGAATGCGCGCGCAGCTCTTGCGGCGCGTGCGCATTCAGCCGGCGGGACGTAACGGAGGCGGAGAGGAGGAGGAGAGCTCTCCGCCCAGCGCTGGAAAAAGGTAAGTTTTTACCCCTTTCCCCCTTCCAGAGCCGGGTGGGAGGGGGACCCTGAGGGTGGGGGCACCCTCAGGGCACTATAGTGCCAGGAAAACGAGTATGTTTTCCTGGCACTATAGTGGTCCTTTAACTATCGTTAATAGCACATTGGATGATACCTCTAAATCAACATATAAAAATCAAACAAGTATGATAAGAATATATACAATTGTTCATCTCTATATCTGAATAACCAGACCTATTCCTTTCTATCTCCTCCCCACCCCCTCTTAATTTTGATGTAAAAACCAGCTGCTAATTAAATAGAAAAATAATAATTATAACTAATAATGTGTGCTAGTTTCATTCCTCCGCTATAAACAACATTTATTCTTAAATTTACTTAGAACAGATGGCAGATGTTCCTACCTAAGATTAGGAAACATACTTTTAGAAGTGATACCATCAGCAACATTCATATCTTACGATGAGTGCTGGTCTGATGCAGCAACATATTATTACTACTAATCTCATATGATGATTCAACAAAAATGTACTTTAGACAAATATCAATAACACATTCCTGTGAGTGAAACATAAGATATTATTTTGCATAACCTCATAATCACATATTTTCCTTAATATTTTACCCGCTACAGTAAATATCCATATTCAGTACTTCTTTCGTGTGCAAATTAGTTTCTGTAAAGTGCCAACATTTGAATACAAAAAATACATCTGAAAAACACCAATATTAGAGATGCACTGTCAGACCATCTTTGTAAAACATTTATAAAAATAAAAAAGTCACTCCTGCCAGATAAATTTAATAACTCGAGCCATCATTTTTATACAATCATTTTCCCCTTTCTCTCCGCTCCCCTACCTTCTTGGGGTTACCAACCATTGCATCTTAGATTGCTACATAACCAAAAGAGAGAAAAGAGAGAGGAAATAAGAAAAAACACGCTCATAGAATACACCACTCTTATGTGTGGAGCATGCGTTTTTAACTAGTTCTTAAACCGCCTAGGCTTTATCATGATGTTTCCCCTTCAACCATGACAGGGCTTTTAAACTAATTAAAAAACTAAAGAGGAATTCTCCTATAAAACTATTAATTTAGCTGAAAAGCCAAATCTTTATGTTCTTGCTTCTCAGTTATAGTAATCTCATGGAGGGATCTTCTAAATATGCTGGTAGATCTGGATAGATCCGGAAAGCACATTAAATGTTACATTTTCTTTGAGAGTGCTGATACATTTCTAAATGCTTGTAGGAATGTCTCCCTGTTTTTATAGGAGTTGAATCTAATAATTAGATTTGGCTCTAATCTATATATTTGTTAAAATAAGATCTTATTGCTTTTGACCCAAATATTAGGGTAGAGCAGTACTCAACAAAATACTCTTCCAAATTTTGATCCCGGGTGTCCTCTGGGACTCTTTTTCGTAGAATTATTCTACTTTGTCTAACTTCTAAATTTTGAATGTTGGGTTCCAGAAATGTAATTTTATTGTTTAAATTAGACTTTTCTAGTTTTGTCTGGAATTGGATTTTGTTTTTCTTAATTTTTTCTTAATGTTTTTTTGTTTAACTTCTGAGGTTATTTCCATGTTTTTTTCCATATATTTTTTAAGCTGAGTGAATTGTTGATCCGAGGTTTTTTTTCAACAAATCAATAGTGGATACCGGGGTATCCAAGTCTTCTGAAGTGTCTAGATGAGATTTGTTAAAATACTTATTGCCATTCACCATGGAAATATCAGTCAAACTTTGAGAGGAATCAGTTGGAATAGTTTTAAGCTATGACTGGTGAAAATATGGAGGTCAATGTCTTGTCGTTATCGTTCTTTTTTTTTTCTAAATGTTTCTCATTCTTATTCTATTGAGGTTTATTTTCTATTTTTTTCTTAGTAGCCATTTCAGGTTTTTTTTTTCCAGGCTCTGATAGTTCTTTGTAAAAAATACACTGACTAAAATTATAAATAAAACACTTTTGTTTTTGCCCCCATTTTTCATGAGCTTTTCTCCTTTGCCGAGATAATCCATCCACCTCACAGGTGTGGTATATCAAGATGCTTATTAGATAGTATGATTATTGCATAGGTGTATTTTAGGCATACCACAATAAAAGTCAAACAAAAGAAAAAGAGGAACCACGCCCCAGATAGTAATAATGAAATAATATACATACACAAAAAGTTTTTCAAATAATTTGCATACAGCCTCAAAGATGAAAACAGAGAGGAAACACAATAGTGCAACATGATTTGATAAATAGATTAAATTTGGAGTGTATTAAAGCAATATACACTCACATTTGATAGAGCTGACTAGGAGCTCTACCGTAATTGGCATGGACGGAACAATCCCCGTCTAAGGATCTATGTGGAAGCGAGTGTCTCCAATATTCCAGATGAGCAGCAGTATAAAAAACATAAAAGAAAACTCCAATAGTGCAATATATTCCAATAAGAATAAAAGAAAAGAAAATAAAAAATGTGGTACTCACATTTACTAGAGCAGAAACTTGCTCTAGTATACTCAGCTTAGGTGATATAATCCCCACCAGAGGATATGATGACCAGGAAGTAAAATGATGAATCCAAAATAAATAGATGTATATATCTTTAAAATACACTATTTCATGGCAATATAATAAAACAAAGAACAAGGTGGCTATAAAAAAGTCTCACTTAACGCATTTCGCCTATCACAGGCTTCTTCAGAAGTGTGGGAAAGTCCTTAAATGTGTCCTTTATATAGGTGATACAATTATGAAGAGTTACTTCCAGGTGTGTCCAATATCCTGTTTCCACTCGTGGAACGCACGCATCGCACCGGAAGTGATGCGGCGTAACTACATGTGGTGATTAGTGATGTCCCGAACGGTTCGCCGCGGTTCGCCATGAACGGTTCCCTGCGGACTCCAGTCAGCAGACACATTCCAGCCAATCAGCAGCAGACCCTCCCTCCCAGACCCTCCCACCTCCTGGACAGCTCACTAAGAAGTGGTGATGTTATGTGTTTCAGCTTGGAACGCATCGGCGCCATTTTGGAACCGCATGCGTTCCAATTCAGCAAATGTCGCGCTTGAGATGTAATTGCAAAGATAATTGTTTGAATACCGGCAATGTCAAGTCTGTTGTGTATACTTATCAACATAATCTTCTGTTTTGTGTTGTAGATGAACACATGTTCCCGGCGTCCATAAGAGATGACGTCACGGGGTCTTCGTGGACATGCTTGTAAATAAAGCGGCAGTTATCTCAGCCTTATTTGAGAAGGGCAAAAAGTGGGAAATACATAGGAAACTCAATCAGTGCTAGTCATTATCTATTAGTATCCACACATATCATTCCAATAACTAAAATGTTACAATAGAGGTACTTAAGAAACTATAAGAAAGGGATACATATAAAAAAATATAAAAAATTATACAGACATGAAAGCCATATATCCAAGTACATAAAAAAATACTAATAATTAAAATAAAATACTCAAAAACATGGAAACATATTCATGATATATATCAAAGCACTACTATACACATGGTAAAAGGATAAAAAGTATAAAAACATACAAGTGGATAAAATTTATAATAAAAATATTATAAGTAACACAAATACCAGAGTGATAACGGAGGGTCAGAGATGGAAAAAAAAAAAAACTTATAAAAAATTAAACAAATCAAATTCTATGTTTAACCCGTTTGGGTATAAGGTGTCCATATAGTAAACCCATTCCATCTCTGTGCATCCAATTTTCTTAATATGATCACCTCCTCTCCAGTGGTTCTTAACAGTGGCAATCCCCATAAAGATGAGATCTTTGGGATCATTATTGTGGGTGCAGAAATGAGATTAAACAGAGTGGTTCCTATAACCCTTTTCTATATTTCTGCAATGCTCTGCCACTCGTATTTTTAAAGGTCTGATCGTGCGTCCAATGTATTGGAGGCCGCATGGACACTCTAACAAATATATCAAATTTTTGCTATTACAAGTAATTGTCTCTTTAATGTTATATATTCTACCAGTATTGTTTGATTTGAAAGTGGTCCTTAGTTTAGATGTTTGTTTGTTTGTTTTTGCACGCTACGCATGAATTACATTTGTAAAAACCCTTAATACCTTTCATGGAATTGTTTCTTTTCTTTGATCTCTAATATTTTCTGCCTGATATGTCTGTTCCCTTATTTTGTGTTCAAGAGGTTTATTGTGGACCTGTGTGGGTCTACCTCTGTGTTCTTTATTAGTATTGTCATGTGTCTTAGTGCTATTAGTAATCGTGTATCGATCTGTGAATTTTTTTGGAGATCTGTTCCAATAATTAGTTCTATGTGGATGGTCAGATCTTTCATTACCTTCTCTACTTTGAAGGCGTTTGGGTCTAAATGTTCTCCTTTCTGTGCGAGAATTGTGTTGATAATTTGTACTTCTCCATTTTTGTTGTTTTAGTGGTTTTTTGTATTGTAAGTGCGTATTTGGTTGTTTGCGTAATCATGTTTGTCCCTATTATATTTATTTATTTTGACCTTTTTGATGTCTGTTTCTGTTTTTTTAACCTTCTTTTTTATTGTTTGTGTTTGATCCTAAGATCCATAAAAATCCAATTGACCCTCCTGGTCACCTAATAATTTCAGACATTCAGGTCTCTTCTTTCAAACCTGTCCGAACACACTGATATCCTATTACAACCTTATGTTGTAAAAACCAAGTCATATCTTAAGGATACAATAGGCCTCTTGAATAAATTAGAGAATATTAATTGGGAGAAAGACTTGATTACTTGTGACGTTCAGTCTTTATATACTATTATTCAACACAAAAAAGGATGCAGAGCAGTGAGAATAATCTTAGAGAAAGAAAATAAAATGCCGCAAGATCAGATAGAATTTTTAATTGAAGGCATAGACCTGATTTTAAATAATAATTATTTCTGGTTTAAAAATAGTTTTTATCTACAAAAGAGAGGTACAGCTATGGGCACCAGGTTTACGCCCAGCTATGCCAACCTCTACATGGCTGAATGGGAGGATAGATACATTTGGAGTGGACATGGCTGGGCAAAAAACCTGGTGTCCTATTCGAGATATATAGATGATCTTTTATTTATATGGAAAGGATCCGCTGCTGAAGCGCGAGATTTCATTACGTTTTTAAATTCTAATCAGGAAGGGATTGTTTTAACTTCAGAAATAAGTGACACCCAAATTAATACTTAGATCTTAACATTTACATTAAAGATAATAAACACAAAGACACATTTCAAAGAGGTACATGTAAATAACTATGTAGACATGAATAGTTGCCACAATAAAATTTGGTTAAATAGTATACCAAAAAGCCAAATGCTTAGATTAAGGAGAAACTGCACTGAAACAACTATTTTTAAACAACAAGCAGAAACAAATGAAAAAATGTTTTTTACAAAAAGGGTATGATAATAGAATAATTCAATCCACAATCAACTATACATTAGCAGCTAACCAAAAATATGTATTATCCAAAAAAAGAGTTCAAAAACAAAATATATCTCTTCCAATTGTATAGGACTATAATAACAAAAACAGAGAACTCAAAAAAATGATAAATAAACACTGGCACTTATTAAAAGAAGATACTATTTTAAAAGATTTAATCCCAGAAAAACTAAGATAGTATTCAGGGGAGCTCCCAATTTAAAGAAGCACCTTACTAAAAAATTATACAAAGGTAGAAGATAAGAAAATAGACAATTCCATGAAAGGTATTAAGGGTTTTTACAAATGTAATTCATGCGTAGCGTGCAAAAAAAACAAACAAACATCTAAACTAAGGACCACTTTCAAATCAAACAATACCGGTAGAATATATAACATTAAAGAGACAATTACTTGTAATAGCAAAAATGTGATATATTTGTTAGAGTGTCCATGCGGCCTTCAATACATTGGACGCACGATCAGACCTTTAAAAATACGAGTGGCAGAGCATTTCAGAAATATAGAAAAGGGTTATAGGAACCACTCTGTTTAATCTAATTTCTGCACCCACAATAATGATCCCAAAGATCTCATCTTTATGGGGATTGCCAGTGTTAAGAACCACTGGAGAGGAGGTGATCATATTAAGAAAATTGGACGCACAGAGATGGAATGGGTTTACTATATGGACACCTTATACCCAAACGGGTTAAACATAGAATTTGATTTGTTTAATTTTTTATAAGATTATTTTTATGCCTATATATTGACCTTTTTTCCATCTCTGACCCCTCCGTTATCACTCTGGTATTTGTGTTACTTATAATATTTTTATTATAAATTTTATCCACTTGTTATATTACAACTTTGGAATAGTGTATGTTTTTATCCTTTTTATCCCTTTACCATATGTATAGTAGTGCTTTGATATATATCATGAATATGTATCCATGTTTTTGAGTATTTTATTTTAATTATTAGTATTTGTTTATGTACTTGGATATATGGCTTTCATGTCTGTATCATTTTTTTTATATATATTTTATATTTATCCCTTTCTTATAGTTTCTTAAGTACCTCTATTGTAACATTTTAGTTATTGGAATGATATGTGTGGATACTAATAGATAAACGTGTAATGACTAGCACTGATTGAGTTTTCTATGTATTTCCCAATTTTTGCCCTCCTCAAATATGGCTGAGATAACTGCCGCTTTATTTACAAGCATGTCCACGAAGACCCATGACGTCATCTCTTATGGACGCCGGGAACATGTGTCCATCTACAACACAAAACAGAAGATTATGTTGATATGTATACACAACAGACTTGACATTGACGGTATTCAAACAATTATCTTTGCAATTACATCTCAAGTGCGGCATTTGCCGAACTGGAATGCATGCGGTTCCAAAATGGCTCCGATGCGTTCCAAGCTGAAACACAAAACATCACCACATGTAGTTACGCCGCGTCACTTCCGGTGTGATGCGAGCATTCCACGAGTGGAAACAGGATATTGGACACACCAGGAAGTAACTCTTCATAATTGTATCACCTATATAAAGGACACATTTAAGGACTTCCCCACACTTCTGAAGAAGCCTGTGATAGGTGAAACGCGTTACGTGGGACTTTTTTTTTTTTATAGCCACCTTGTTCTTTGTTTTATTATATTGCCATAAAATAGTGTATTTTAAAGATATATACATCTATTTATTTTGGATTCATCATTTTACTTCCTGGTCATCATATACTCTGTTGGGGATTATACCACCTAAGCTGAGTATACTAGAGCAAGTTTCTGCTCTAGTAAATATGAGTATCACATTTTTTCTTTTCTTTTCTTTTATTCTTATTGAAATATATAGTGCACTATTGGAGTTTTCTTTTATGTTTTTCTTATACTGCTGCTCATCTGGAATATTGGAGACACTCGCCTCCACATAGATCCTTAGACGGGGATTGTTCTGTCCATGCGAATTACGGTACAGCTCCTAGTCAACTCTATCAAATGTGAGTGTATATTGCTTTAATCCACTCCAAAAGTTCATCTATTTATCAAATCATATTGCACTATTGTGTTTCCTCTCTGTTTTTATCTTTGAGGCTGTATGCAAATTATTTGAAAAACCTTTTGTGTATGTATATT